TTCCACCTGCCTGGTTAGTTAGGTCGAACGCCAAGTTGGCTGAGACTGTTGCTTGCTTGCTGCGTTTACAAACCTACGCATAAACCGTCATACTAAAGACCCAAGTACTCCCTCGCAGCTACAGCAACTCCCGGTTTAGGGTTTAGGGTTTAGGGGTGGTGGGATGTCGAAGCCAGCGACTCGTTACTTAGGGTCAAGCTGTCCGCATAGGGATTTGGGGCTGTTGCTTTGGAGTGATGCTCCTGAATCGAAACGGAGGTTTCGCGCAAATGTCTCGGGTTTTGCAGGTGGTTTAAAATTCAAGGTCTTGCTTCAACTGTTCAGACTTCCGACTCGCATTTTGGAGTCTGGAATGAGGGTGTGAGGATGTTCAAACCTTAAATCCTAAGCCCGACACCGGCCGCAGCTTCAACCCTGACAATCCTGAAACCCGCGTTATTGAGACTTCTAAGCTCGGGTTCGGGTGCCGCAAGTTGGGAAGGCAATCCTGCACGAGATCTCCTGCGCACACTACGAGAGCGTAAGGGGCTCAGGGTTTAGGGCTTAGAGATTAGGTTGAGCTATCAACTCTTGGGCCCACCTGAAATCCCTGGCCAGCTATATCAATAAGGTTTAGGGTTAAGGCCTTCAGGGTTTAGGGTTCAGGGTTTACGGTGTAGGTTTTAGGGCGGCATGGTATCCCCAACCGTCTCTGGAAAACTCGCTGTAGACATAATGCCCCTATACACCACCCTGAACCCGTGACTGTTCAACCCCCAACCCTATGCCACTATACCATAAACTAAACCCTAGATCCTGGACCCCCAACCCTCAGCCCCGAAACCCTGAATCCCAAACCCTACAACAAAAGACGATATTTGGGTTTAGGTTTTGGGGTTTTGGGGGTTTGGGGGTTTTGGGGGTTTGGGTTTAGCGCTTGGGGGTTTAGGGGTGTTGGCGTGTTGGGGGTTCTGGGGTTTAGGGGTTAGTTGTTCCAGAGCCCAGGATCGTCAAAGTAGCCAAACATCTCGGCCAGGTGAGACAGGGTGTGATAGAATCGCTGGGGCTCCCCATGCCCTGGGCGCCGGCTTCACAGAAGCCCGGGCTTCGGGCTCGGGACGTAGAGGACCCTCTAAGACGAGAGTTCAGGTGTTCAAACTGGCTTCAGAATTCGGGATGCAGGCCAGGCCACTCAACCCTAAACCCTAAACCCGAAACCCTAAACCCTAAACTTGCATCCCAAATTTTTGCTTCAGACTTCTACCCCTCGACTTCCCTCATGCCAAAGTCGCGGATTTCCAGGGTCTGCCACCACTTTGCAGTGTCGGCTGGGGTCCTGGGCACATGAATACGAGTTGCCCACACTGGTTTAGGGACCTCAACAAGTAGAACAGGGCTCCTTTAAAGGGCTCTGTGTAAAGAATTCTAGAACGGGTCTTGACAAGTAGAATAACGTTTAGGGGTATACGTACTAGAGTCAGGAAATGCAAGGAACAGGATTCCTGTTGTATTCAGGCTGTAACTGTCGATGTTATCCATTCTACAACTCCATGAGTCGATGCGAAAGAGATTTCACTTGTGAACACATACGCACACCAAAGTTCGGCATCAATGTGTTGGCTTGCTTGTGTAGTGAAACCAAAAACGCGCATGTACGTACGCATGCATGTGTGCATGCACTCACGCAGGGAGGTAGGTAGGTAGCTAGCTAGCATATACATACATACATACCTATGCAGGGATGCTCGCATGTACGTATGCCATAGATGCGCAACATCTCTCGCCCCAACATCAAGCCCCTCCAGTCCTCTTTGAAACATGCTGTTGAATGCATGCGGCACATGGTCATTCTATTGGGCTTCGGTTGGGACATTGGCTTAAAATCCGCCTGTAGTCTTCCGTGGATCGTTCTACAGCGCTTAACTATTCTTTTGAAGATCTTACTGAAACACGTACCTCACATGACGTACTACCCACTGAACCTTAAACCCTGAAACCCACAAGCCGATAAACCCCTAAACCCTGAGCCCTCTTTGAGCTTAGATGAAGCAGCGTTGCAGCCAGAGGGCACCTCAAGGTTGCGACAGAGCTCCTGCCGAGCTGTAGCATATGGGCTAAGGTAGGGGCCTTAACCATTAGAATAGGGTTTTGTGGTCCACTATACTATACTTATACTAAGGAACCCCCAAAAATAGTATCGGCAATTGTTTAGGCCCCTACGTTAATATGGGGAGAAGGGCGCTCGGCTCGGCTTCAGACCTTAACGGGTTTTAGGGCAATGGGTTTAGGGTTTAGGGTTTAGGGTTTAGGGTTTAGGGTTTAGGGTTTAGGGGTTTGGGCGTTGGGCTTGGATAAGATTTTAGGATTGGCAGGTTTAGGGTCTTAAATCTTAGGATGTATCTAGGGCTTGAGGAAACCTAAAACCTTTCGAACTCACTAAAGCTGATAAATACGACGATAGTCCTAGAAGTCGTGCTAGGTGGTGGTGACCAGTGGTGCTGGCAGTAATGATAGTAGAACTAATAGCAGTCGTTCTCGTCGTTGTGCTGCGAGGCTATGGATCTGCGGCCGATCAACGAATACTTACAGTCCTACGACGTCCGTCGTCAGCCACTTTGGCCTATTCGGGTCGCGTTTGGGTTTCTAGGTTGGCCCTTTACAGCCTCTGAGAATGTTCGTAAATCAGACCCTCTTGTGCTTCAAAAGGAAAAATATACAATCCCCCCAAGCCATGGTTACATTATAACTATGTTATAGTTATACTATAGTTTACGATAGCCATACTGTAGTTGTATCATAGTCGTTGTTTCGGTGTAAGGCTCCTCCCATCGAGGCTTCAACTTGCTTGCATCGGCGGCAGCCGACGACGACATCGCGGCTCAGTCTCACGGCTATGCACGCACAGGATCAGGGCTGGGGATTCGGAGGACGTTGGTCATACGTCATACCTTCGATGTTTAACAGGCTCCCTCCAAAGTTTCAGAGGTAAACGTCAGACTGCCAGGCCTGTGGTGATCAGGATGCGACTCACAGAGCAACCCTATCACAGCCAGCATTGAATGCCACTCTGCTGCACCAGGCCAAAATAACCAAAGATTTCGGACAAGCGGACGAGACTCCGAAACGAGAAGTCCTCAACCCCAATTGTCTGAACTTGAACCCTCGAATTTTATCCTAAGCCCTAAACCCTGAGCCCTAATCCCGAAGCCCTAAGCCCTAAACCCTTTAGATCCGCAGCCCTGAAACCGCCCCAAGCCATGTAGCGGCTCTGGTAATTAGAATATGGCCTTTGGGACATTTTGTAGTGTAATCATAACAAGGAACCCCTTCTATAATATGGGCACCATCCGCAATCAGAAGTCGTTGAGCCCTAAAAACCAACAAACCCTGGATGTACACGCGAAACCGCGGATGCGGATTGCCGTCGACCTGACACCTTGGACTCTTTGCGCACCCCCTGAACCCTAGAGGCAGCCCCTGACGAAGACCAACACTGCGTAGCCTCGATAGTAATCATCAAAGCACGGTATGAATATGACTAGTGACTCTAACCACCAGCATGCCGGATGACCGTAAGAATGGCAGCAATAAGTCCAGTAGCAAACTCAGTTTCATGGCTACTACACCATCAACACTTAACGAACGAGCAACATCCTTCGAGATCACGATGATGGCAATAACATGGCAGATAGCTGGCAATATGTCCCACAGCACAGACAGTCACAGTAGGCACAGCTATACAAGTGATGCCAACATTTTACGCTAGCAGCAAAAGCAAGAGTCGCAGCGTCTGTAACAGTACTGATTGTTGCGAAACCTTGAACCCTATAATGATACTATAAAAGATGGTTTAGGTTTAGGGGTTTAGGGTTTAGGGTTTTAGGGTTTGCGGTTTAGGGAGCCCAAAACCCGGTTCTAATTCTGAAGGCCTGAACCGTGCCATGATAGCCGAAGTCCAAAGCTCTGCCAAACCTGCGAGGGCAACGTCGCGGGCGTGAGAAGTTGTTCAGCCACCAGTGAAGGGTTTTAGGGTTTAGGGTTTAGGGTTTAGGGTTTAGGGTTTAGGGTTTAGGGTTTAGGGTTTAGGGTTTAGGGTTTAGGGTTGGAATATGGCGATTTCTTCGTTGGAGTTTGGCGAACGCCCGAATCGCCATGTTCAAACGAATGAACCTAAGGTGTGAAATCCTACAATAAAGAGTGTTTAGGATTTAGGGTCTCGGGTGAGGGTTTAGGGTGAAGGTTTCACTTTGCTTGAGGGTTTACTGTTTCCCCGAAACCTTCCACTGCGCAATTCCAGCACTCCTCTACCCTAAACCCTAAACCCTGAACCGCAAAAACTCTAAACCCTAAACCCTAAACTCTAAACCCCAAACCCTGAGCCCTAAACCGCAAAAAGTCTAAACCCTAAACCCTAAACTCTAAACCGCAGAAACTCTAAACCCTAAATCCTAAACTCTAAAAACCCTAAAACCCTAAACTCTGAACCCTGAACCCTAAAAACCCTCCCAAAAACCTGTCCAACCTGAAGCCCTCTCACTCGAATTGTTTGGCAAGCTCCCCCATAACGGCGAGAAAGACATGAGACATCGGGCTAGCTATGGGTAATGTAGGGGCCTTCATAATTAGAATAGGGTTTTGGGGTATATTATACTATAACTATAATAAGGAACCCCCAAATAGTATAGGTACTTGTTTAGGCCCCTAGACTAGCCATTGGTACTTGAGATGAACCACCGTCGGATGAAGGAGGTTCAGCGCTAATGGGTTTAGGGTTTAGGGTTTAGGGTATTTTGGGTGTTA